AGCACTCCACCACCAGACTTTTTATTACAGAGTTGAAAATTCCTGTCGTGTCGGAATACATTAAAATTGTTTCCAAAAATTTCTTCGCTTCTGACGCTTTCGTCCCAGCTTGTTTCAGTTCCAAGAATTATTTGAAAAGAAGAAGATAGAATGTTCTGGTGGATTTCTTTCATTTTAGCTGGGCTTTTCATGCGACTGAAATTTTGGCAATACACCAAAATTTCAGTCGCATTCTGTTGAGGAAGTGAAGAGATTTTTGGTATTTCAGTATTACTTACATTAGTAGGGTCTACCTCATGTAGAGTGTCGTCATTCGATAATAATAATTCCCTTGCATGGGAATAGTCGTCGTTACTTCCTTTAGTAGAGTGCGTCAGTGCCGTTGAAAATTTGGAGGACTGCAAAATTTGCGAGCGGCCTCCCTAGTTTGCTGCAGTCGTTGTTCACTAAGTAGGAACGCGCGGTGTGAATTCAGGTCTGCCAAAGCGTCGGTGCGTGGAATTCCGAGTTCTTCGTGAACGTCCAGGAAAATTTCGCGTAAAAGGGCTGTTTCCGTTGGTAGTCCTTCTGCTGCCAGCATTAAAGTTGCACTAGTTTTAGTGATTCCGCGAATACATACTGAAGGTGGCTGGTCGTGCAAGTATGAAAGATAAGTCCGCACAATGTCCATAATTTTGGGGTCCCGCAGCCGTGCCTTCAAAAAGCGTCGGTCGCCAATAGCAGACTGTTCCGTGAGTCTGACAATAGGCGGACGCATTGGGTCCAGGATTGGAGGGTGTTCATGTCCGGTTGGTCTTTCGGCGCGATAAGGGTGAATAGTTTCCCCTTTTTCGAAGTTAATGAATTTTAGTCCATTGTCTGTGCTTGGTGGACGAGAAAATTGTATACGTGCAGCAGCCAAAAGCTCTTTGTCCAGAGGTAATGCCGTATGTGCATGTGTGGAGTTAATAAGTGTCGACGTTCTTATTCCATTGCTATGATTGTTGGTATTGCTGTTGTTGTTGTTGTTGTTGTTGTTGTTGTTGTTGTTGTTGTTGTTGTTGTTGTTGTTGTTGTTGTTGTTGTTGTTGTTGTTGTTGTTGTTGTTGTTGTTGTTGTTGTTGTTGTTGTTGTTGTTGTTGTTGTTGTTGTTGTTGTTTTTGTTGTTGTTGTTGTTGTTGTTGTTGTTGTTGTTGTTGTTGTTGTTGTTGTTGTTGTTGTTGTTGTTGTTGTTGTTGTTGTTGTTGTTGTTGTTGTTGTTGTTGTTGTTGTTGTTGTTGTTGGTGTTATTATTGCTGTTCTTGTTATTGTTGTAGTTGTCTGTTTTGTTCTTGTTATTGTACTGATATGAATTTTCCTGGTGATGTTCCTTTCGTTGCTTTCGCCTACGTCTGGCTTTTTCCTTTTCTTTTTCCTGAAGGCGACGGGAACGCTGTTTGGTGTCAAATGCAGTCCAGTCGCGTTTCCATATTTTTTTATTTCCTAGCATTCGCCAGCTGGGGGCTGGTTCGGCACCGACGTTCTGCAGTTCAATTTCTATGTTGTTACATGCAATTGGATTGCCAGTATGTGCTGCTTCAGAAAAGGTTTTTGCCATTTCTTCCATATGTGCTTTTACATCGGAAGCTAGAATAGCATTTGAGTCCGCTAAGTCGTTCTTAATTTCCATAATTAATTGTGGAATTAGGTCAATTGAGTGCACTGTTGCTGTTGTTGTTGATGTAATGGCTTCTACTGCTGCTGTTGCTGCCGAGTTGACCGCCTTTTCTACAGCGATACAGGCGTCTGCTGGAGGTGTGTCCAAAAGTGCTGACAGTTTACTTTTTATTTCAGTGGAACTAGTCTTGCTGCTGCTGGCGAGGTTTGAAAAGGCTTGTTTTACGTCGACAAGCATTTTCTCAATGTGGTCGAGCGTTTCGTCATGAGTCGCGCTTAGGCTTTTGAAATTCATGAGGAGTTTGTGGTTTGCTGCCAATGTATGTCCGATGTTTTCCGTGATATTTTGGAAAGACTTGGACAGTTCCTTCATGTTAAGTTCAGCGGTGAACTTTTCCTGACAGTCTTGGCAAAAAGGCAGCATGAAGGTCCGCAAAATTTCTTCATGATTCCGCTGTGCGCCTACGCAAGCTGCGTGGAAAGTCCGATTGCAGGCACCATGGCAGCGCCATAGGAAACGATTGTCATTTTGCACGCAATTCACGATACCGCACTTCATTGCACTCGCGTCGGGTGATAAAAAAAAAAGTAAAAAATTGCTACTTGAAAATGCTAACGCGGGGCTCGCGCACGGGTCAGTTATTAAAAGGTATGAAAAATAAAATAAAGTTTGAATGGTAAAATATATACAAGAACGCTGTGAACGCGCGTCCGAACTCAAAGGTGGTTCGTGGTGAAGTGGCTAGTGTTTGGGCCACTTTCTGATCCGAAGTTCCACTTCTGTTCTGTGCCTAATGCATTGAAACGCCTTTCAAACGCCATTCAAACGCCATTGAATTCACTTCGACCTATCGGATGAAGATAATAATTGAAAAGTGGCGAACCGGCCGACCTTCCACGATAACGCCGAGAGATAAGAGGGAAATCAAAAAGCTTGCAGTCCACCAAAAACTTTCGTCGCATGAAATCAAGGCTGAGATGAACCTCCGAGTTTCTGGTCGTCGTATCCGTCTGATATTGAGTGGAGATCCAAACAAACGACACCTGTATCGAGACTATTAATTCATCATAAGAGAGCCCGTTTTTCCTTTGCCGAAAAACACTAGTTTTGGAATGGTCAAATGTGGTTTTCAATGATGAAAAAAAAAATTAATTATTTAAAATTAGCATGACAAGCGCCACGAGAAGCCGACCAGAGAAAAAATAAACTTTGGTGGTGGAATGCTTATGGTCTGGGCTGGATTCAGTTTGACTGGAAAGACTTCTTTATGCTTCATTTGAACGCGAATGAACTCAGAAATATACTGCCAACTGTTGGATGAACTTCTTGTTCCATTTTCAGAGAATGTTATGAGTGAAAACATGATGTTCCAGCAGGATAATGCAGCTTGTCATGCATCTAACGCCACGAAACAGTTTTTAAAAGGCCACGACATCCCTGTCTTGGATTGGTCGGCATGTAGTCCTGACTTGAATTCAATCGAATTGTTTGGGGTCTTCTTTCACGCAATGTTTTCAAACATGCAAGAAGCCAACTGAAAAAGGTTATTCAGGACGAACGGTCGAAACTCGATCCGAATTCATTCAAATCATTTATAACTTATATGCCACGGTGTCTCCAAGAAGTTATAATCAAAAAAGGTAATACTACACGCTACTGAACGTTATTGATTCCAAGTTATTGACTAATAAAGTGATGTTTATACAAAAATCTTTTTTGTCTTAATTATTATTTCCACCCTGAAAACGAGAAAAATATAACTATTTTTTTATGATAAATGACTCCAATCAAGATTTATTGATCAATTATGTAACTAGAGTATATCAACATTATTCATGACAAATCGATGATTTGGTTAACATTGCCAACATGTTGAAATTAATGATAACTCAGATGTCTTTATACTTATGTCCATACCTATATAAGACTTAAAGTGATCATTTATACGATAGATGAGGAGATGAAAAATGGACAATTTTGAGGAAGGTACGAATCAGATTGAGCATTTCCTTTACCAAACTCACACGTTGGTGAGGGGTGTTTCCCCTCACCAACACAGGTAAAAGGAATGATCACCGATTTGCTCATGTACCTCCGATGTGCGGACACGGTTCCTTCGATTGTTACAAACTCAAGTCGCCATCTGACGTATTGATTGTATTTGCAGCAATTATTTCTTCTATCATTGTGCTCCCGTCATCGTAACCTTAACGATCTTAAGGAGGCACGGGTAGCGGAGGAATTGGTGATCATTCCTCTTGCCAGTGGAGGCGAGCAGTGTTGCCACATTCAAAAAAAAAATCATGTCACATGTCACCATGTGATATGGTTAATTAAACAATAAGAATGAAAAACTAACATCCCTTCTAACGAACAATCAGAAGTCCGTTCAAAATAAAATAAAAAAACGAAAAATTGGTATTTGGTTAGGTGTACCTACTCAAAAGAAAGAAAGGATTATTTATGGATATTAATAAATACAATCCAGAGTTGAACATATATTCCACTTATTTGAAAAATATATATATTCAAAAAAAAAATCTGTGATCTGTAAATACAGATATCTGTATCAACATTTTGAGAAAAATCTTTATCATTACAGATAAATCTGAATATGTGCCATCAATGGTGGCGACACACCCCTCATAAACGGGTGAGTTTGGTAAAAAGAATGCTCGATCCGATTCGTAACTTCCCCAAAATTGTCTTTTTTACTTTCTATATAAAATTTCAACACTGGCGTACTAAAACGCAACTATCAATTCTATACTTTCATCTCCTCATCTATCGTATACAATGACCACTTTAAGTCTGATATTAACGTTAAGCATCTCCAACTGAGACAATAGTTTTTATTCGTCTTCATCGTCATTTAAGGAATCATTGACCATATTCCGCTGAATATTCCTCCCCGGCGTTCCCGCAATTTATCGCTGCTGGCTGTTCCATACAATAGAACAAACTATGGCCACAATAATCCGTTATATTCGTGCTTTCAGATATAAGGCTATGAATCAATTGTGTTGAATATGTTATTTGACAAATGCATTTGATGCCATGAAAAAACTCTGGGAAGCTAGGTATAAACCGATGCATTTAGTATTTTTTTTATTGGCTAACCATTCTTACAACTCTATGTGACATCAAAGTGATACCCCCATAATGCGATGGCGCATTACCGTCGACAATGCTAAGACTATCTTACGATCGCTTCCACTGCTATCAATTCATTTGTTTATATATGTGAGTAAAGAAGAATCACTTCATCACTCGAACAAAATCATACTACTCTTCCAAACTCAATCACACTCATGCTTTTTTCAATTCAACAATCATTCACTTTTATCCAGTGCAGCGCTCTTACTTGGTGTCGCCTTGTAAAACTTGTGAGCATGCCCTATCAGTGGCAGCTTGGTGGGACCGGACATGCTAGCCAGTTTGGCATACATCTTCCTTCGGGTCCATTGAAAGTACAAAACCGCCATGATCACACTCGCGCACAGGTACGTGACCAATGCATCCCACCACCACATGCTGTATCTTAGATCCAAACAACGCACTGGGAGAACTGATCGCGGCCACTCTTTCACTTCAATTAAAACTACTCGCTATCGGAGTTCGGAACGGAAGCACGGCTCAAGCGAAAGTGGTGCGATAATCAACATTAAAACAATATTTATTCCGATAACGGTGAATTTTGCATGTTGTAAACTGTTCAATTACAGGCGTCGGAATTTCGATTTCTTATATTTAGTATGGTGCTATGTGGTAGTTCGCCCTCACAACGCTGGGTGCAAATAGTTAGGCAAATAAACATGCTGATTTCATTGATTGTTTATGATGATGTTATTTAGGTCTGAATCAATTGACTACTAGGATTGAATGGGTGTATCTGTGTATGTGCAACTTTATTCTTGTACCGGTTGCCCTACTATCTGCTATTGATGCACCAGAATTGTGGTTGGTTAGTGCTGCAGGGCACGTAATAACTGCGATATGCTCTGTATTGAGTCGTTAAGCATAACGTGCGCTTGTATCAATACCAGCAGGCTAGGTGAGTTTATAGCCTTTCGCCAAAAGTAGCCTAACTATCACATTCTCCGAACAATTTAAATGTAGTTATATTTTTTGCCAAGCTTTTAGTATACAGCAGATCTTCAAAGTTTTCAAAGGGTAAAGTGTAGGCTTCATTTTAATTCTTCTCATGATATATTAAACTGGAACAAATTGCAACCATTATCGACACCACAACACACAGGCATCAAAAGGGCTATTGCATCCATTGTTTGTCCGGTGTATGGAAGCAGAGACTAGTTGACGTTGTTGGTATTTTTTTCCATAATCACTTCAAACGTTTTGGGAAGTCACATGTTGCCTAGTAATAGATTTTAGATAAACAGGCTTCCTTCTACATTGATCCACTCGCTTCAAAGCATTTCGATCGATCAACCTACACCCTACCAAGTAAGACGATAGGTCGTTTTACGGCAACCGGCTCAAAACATAACAAATCCAACTCCTTTGTCTATAGCCTTTCAATGTGTATTTACTAAACAGTATGGTTACAGTATGCATGGTCCGCACATAAAGGCGAGGGATGTTCGAGAACACGATAAATGTGAATTGTGCAGTACATATGCAACATTATGAATGCATGTACAATAGAAATCTGATATACTTTTAACTTTGTTGCATACAACATAATCAATGAATCAAGTATCGATTTTTCCAATCGATAATCACTTTGAGATCACGAACCCGTGTGAACGAGAACAGTTTCATTAATGCAGCTATGCAGAATTTACATATCTACATATTTTGATGTTTGACGACGCGTGAACGAAACGATTTTACAGTTTACTGCTGGCGGTACAGTTGGATGATCAATTTTCGGTCTCCTTTGCATAAATTGTTCGTAATTTGCAATTTCAAATCCATTAAGTGTAACATTGTCTTCTTCTTGGATACTAAGTTTGAGGAGGAACTTAGCGTATCACAATATACCCACTTTGGTGTCGATTCCGGTTGTCCCGGAACCGTGTTTATCAACATAGGCTTAGAGGGAAGCATTTGAGATCTAGCATCCGAAAAATATAGACCATCGTTGTAAGGCCACCGGGCCAGGTTGATATGCGGGGTAAGTTGAAACGGAAGCCGTAAATATATGCGGAAGTGAGTTATACTGTGATTATTTTAAACAGTAAAATATAAACGTAAACGCATCCTATGACTGTCAAATCAGGTAGTTACAGGCAGCTTAGTGTGCTCCTCAGCGGTGTTTATCTTATTTTATATGAAATATACATTACACATTTTTTACGCATTGCTTCAATCATTCAAAAACAGAAAATTATTTTATCCATTTGTATGCACTACGGAAGCCTTAAAAGAAGTTGCAAAAAATATCTTCAACATGTCAAGCATTTCAACTTGCCCCAAATTTTTACACCCCACGGGGCAAATCAAAATAAGTACAAGGAGGCAAGTTTAAAAGGTGGATATCCCATTTTCAGTACAAGAACCGCCGATATTAGTCGTAACTGACTCACACAGCGTGATATTGGCCCTAACAACAGAAACAGCGAAGCACCCGTGGATCCAAGGAACGGTAAAGCACGCGCCGCCCAACACAGTATTCATGTGAGTACCCGGTCACTGCGGGATCCAAGGGAACGTAATAGCCGACCACCTCTCGCCGGCTCAGGCCACACAACACTAAGTTGAGAGCTGGCCAAACGCTCACTACAGAAGCGTTTAAATCCGAGAAAAAGAAGGGTGACCCCTAAAAATATATAAAGGGTGATACGGTCAAAATTTGGTCAATATCAACTTGACGTATTTCTTTCAATTTTGCATTTAAAAAACCTGAACACCCCTCATTTTGAAGGTGTGTGTGTGTAGAATGTTGCTCCTATTTTGATTTTGGAATTCACTCTTCAGTTGTCAAAATGCCGTCCAAGCAAGAAGAGCAGCGTATCAAAATTTTGCTCGCGCATCGCGAAAATCCGAGCTACTCGCACGCAAAGTTGGCAAAATCGCTAAAAGTTGCCAAATCAACCGTTACAAATGTAATTAAAGTGTTTGGGGAACGTATGTCGACAGCCAGGAAGTCTGGATCGGGGGGAAATCGAAAACCGGAAGCCGCTGAGACGACAAAGAGAGTTGCCGGTAGTTTCAAGCGAAACCCTAACCTCTCTCTCCGAGATGCCGCAAATAAGCTGGGTGTATCGTCTACAACCGTGCATCGAGCCAAAAAACGAGCCGGACTATCGACTTACAAGAAGGTAGTGACTCCAAATCGCGATGATAAACAAAATACAACGGCCAAAGCGCGATCCCGGAGGCTGTACACGACGATGCTGACGAAGTTTGACTGCGTGGTAATGGACGACGAAACCTACGTCAAAGCCGACTACAAGCAGCTTCCGGGACAGGAGTTTTATACGGCAAAAGGAAGGGGAAAGGTAGCAGATGTTTTGAAGCACATGAAACTGTCAAAGTTAGCAAAGAAATATCTGGTTTGGCAAGCCATCTGTACCTGTGGCTTGAAAAGCAGCATTTTCATAGCTTCCGGGACTGTCAACCAAGAAATTTACGTGAAAGAGTGTTTGAATAAACGTCTGCTGCCTTTCCTGAAGAAACACGGTTGTTCCGTACTGTTTTGGCCGGATTTGGTATCTTGCCGTTACGGTAAAAAGGCCATGGAGTGGTACGCCGCCAACAACGTGCAGGTGGTTCCCAAGGACAAGAACCCTCCCAACACGCCAGAGCTCCGCCCAATTGAGAAATACTGGGCTATTGTCAAGCGGAACCTAAAGAAGACCAAAAAACTGCTAAGGGCGAGCAGCAGTTCAAGGCAAACTGGCTTTCTGCGGCGAAGAAGGTGGACAAGGTGGCTGTACAAAATCTGATGGCAGGGGTCAAGCGTAAGGCCCGGCAATTCGGATTTGGAAAAGCGGAAGCCTAACTGAATATTTTTCCTGAATTTTATACTAATTGAACTTGAAAAAGAAATTTAATTTGATTTTTTAAATAAACGATTTCACCGATTTACACGAGTTTTCCCTTGACCAAATTTTGACCGTATCACCCTTTATATATATATTTTTTTTTAATTTACTTTTTATACACTGCTTGTTCGCAAATGATTTGCTCTAGACATTTTTAGAACTTTTGATGGCGCCTTATTTCGCTGTCGTTTTCTTTCAAACCTGTAGGAAGTAAGAGCACGTAATGGTAAAATAAAGGGATAAAGGAGGTGCTAGCTGCCGCAAAGCTTGATCATGTGCATTGGAAAGCGGCATTGGATAAATATATACAAGTTCATACAAGGGCGTAACCAGGTTTCGAGCTAGGGAGGGGCGAAAAAAAAATTACTATGGAAAATTTGGCCGAATGCCATTTCAACGAACGCCACTTCCCCGAAAGCCTTTGTGTTGCTGATTTTAGGGGGAGGCAGTCGCCCCCCTCTGCCCCCTCTGGCTACGCCTATGAGTTCATAATAAAGTAAGGAAGTTCCGGGGAACATTCCCCTGCCTCTGAGATCCCATCGAAAGTTCAGACTTGGATCGAGAAGAAATCAGGGAGAAAGATGCTCTATCAAAACTAAATAGCAAAAAATATGCTGACTCACGACGAGGTGCTAAACCGTCGGACATATTAGTGGGAGACAAAGCGCTGATTACCCAACCGAATCGATTGAAATCTGATCCAACTTTTTCGGCTGAGAGATACACCGTAGTGGCAAGGGATGGAGCAAAAATTGTAGTCATCAGTGGTCGTGGTGTTCAGTACTCCGGGAATGTTCAGGACGTAAAGCTTGCATCAACAATCTGTGACGATTTCAAGCAGCTAGATGAATTTGCAGTGAACGAACATCTGCTTCATGAGTCACAAGATTCTGATGTTATGCCAGCAATCACGACGCGGGAACAGCGTTCAACCAGTGATTCGACCAAAGCGGTCAGTTGGTAAGCCCAGTAAATTTAAGGATATGGTGCTTTTTTTTATACAACCCACCATCAGTGCAAGGATTACCTATGACTGCAGATACTTCACTGGTTGTAAAGTTCTGCCTGATGGTTTGTTGCAGCAGGGTGAATCAACTTCATTGAAGACCTTTGGAAGACAAACGACAAGATGTACGTCTATCAACACGTGACAAGGGACTGACAAATCCACGAACCCTTGTCCAGTCTACAAATCTTTTGAAACCCTTAGGTTGCCCCCCCAAACCCAGCATATAATAATGTTGATTAATGAAATGTATTCAACAAAGGGTTATTTAGAGAGAACAATCTTCAACTGGAACGTACTCACCAAATCAATATATTAAATTTAAGGATATGGTGCTGTACAGAATCTTTGAATAAAAAGTAGGGGTTCGATTAGATGTAGGAAGTAAGGGCAAGTAAGCTGTTGATAAATAAAATATAAAACAAATCTCGACTTTGTCCAGTGTATGAATTGATCAACTGAAGAACAATAAGAAAAATGAGGATATATGAAACACACTGTAGTTTCCAGTCAGTTTTCCGACGAATCTATACACGAGCGGTTGAGATGTCGAAGAGGAGCGTTCTAAAGGGTAAAATTGGCCCGAGGTCCAGCTCCAGGCCTGGTAAGCTGTAAATTATCAGGACACGCCAGAACCGTTTTTCTATATGTGTGTATAAATCTTTTTGTTTTTTTATACCATTCAATATAATGGATTTTTGTTTAAAATATGCTTTTTTCAAATGTTAATATATCAAAAAGGATCAAATAGATATGAAGAGCTTTGAGTGGGTTGGTTTATTTCCTTTAAATTCCGTTATAATTGCTTATCTTTTGACAGATACGCGTATTTCGTCTACTACTTGCAGACTTCATCAGTGCCAAGTACTCAACACCACTGAAGAATCCACCTTTATCTACGAGTTATATACTAATCAATAGGTACTAAAAATCAACAGGTATCCACTGCCATGTCAAAATTTACCTAACCAGGTACCTAAATTCAGTCTCCAACAGGTAGATGCATGCTACGATGTGTTGTTTTAGGTAGCTTGCTAAAGAGTCTCGAGTATCCGTTTCCTTGATCTCTATTAAGCAATGTTGATGGATTATGTTTAAATATTTCTAAACTTTCAGCTACGTCTAGTTTCCAAGACGAAGATACAGTCCGCAGGATATTAATGTTTTCCTTAGTCAAATTGTGCCCCTTTGTAACGATATGTTCTGCAACCTTGGATTTAAATTCATAATGAAGTCCTTTATCCACCTCTTTGTTAGCCTTTTTTACCTCTGCGATGTGTTCCAAATAGATGTTTATCATCTTAGTTACATTTGAAATATCGTGTTTGCATTCATAAATAGTGTGAGCACTACGAGAGACTTTTATGTTTAACTCATTTAATAAAGGCGTATTTTCCACAATAATTGTTAGTAATATTTCAACTTAATTCCTTTGGAAACAATGTGCTCGGTCAATTTTTTTTAAAAAGTATCTAGAGCAAATCATTTAAGCAGTCAAAATGAATTTTCGACTCGCCCCTCATCCATCTTTTGATTTAAGTGAAATTAGGGTGGTCCCTATGGCTATTGAGATCGAAATTTAAACTATCTAGTTATTTGAGATAGACCAGCGAAATGTTCTAAAATGTTTTAGGTCAATTTATTTGAAGCAGCATTGCAGAAGTTACAATGTTTTACATCTAATACTTACGGCCCCACTGTTTTGGCTTTTTACTAAGTTGCTGGAATCTGGAAACTTTCTCAAAATATGTAAAAGTTCTTTCTTAGTGCCTATTTTTAAAACCGTAAAATATCTTACATACGTAATTACCGAGGGATTGCCATCTTGAACTCTAAACATTTTTGAAACAATCGTTAATGAAAATTTATTCCATCAAATCAAAAACAGAATCACTAACATGCAACATAGTTTCTTCAGAAGCCGTTCAACTAGTACAAATTTACTCGAATTAATTAACTATTCGCTGGCTGATTGCAATTGATAATGGAAACCACGTTGAAGCTCTATATACAGCCTTCAGTATGGCATTTGATCGCATTGACATACGCTTGCTTCTCTTCAAATTGGGAATTGAGCCAGGATCTCTCAAATGGCTCGATTCATATCTAACTAATCGTCAACAAATAGTAAGATACAAAGGGGAGAAATCGAATCCTATTCAAGTCACTTCAGGAGTCCCGCAAGGCTCTCATCTAGGCCCCCCTTTGTTTATACTATTTGTAAATGACATATCCTTCATTCTTAAAAACATAAAAGTTTTAATTATGCCGCCGACTTGAAGCTCTTTCTAGAAATAAGGACCAAGGAAGATATCAGGACATTCCAGAATGAAAGACACATGTTCTATATTTGGTGCAACAAAAGCCTTCTACAACTGAACGTAAACAAATGTAATTCAATAGCTGTTAGTAGAAAACGAAGCACACTAGATATTACAATCTTTTTAGGAAATCAGTCGGTAGAAAAGTGTAACGAAGCGTAACTTAAATATCTAGACCAACAATTGAAATAGGCGAACAACCAAACGTAAACAATGACTTTAATCACAAATTTCTCGAAAATCAAAACACATTCACGCAATCTAACACCACCTTCTCATAGAGCAAACTTCCTTTATCGAATGGTATTGTTAATTTGCATGGGTGTATTTTGATTCTCCAGAAATTTGCGATTAAAGCTATTGTTTACGTTTGGTTGTTCTGCCTATTTCAATTGTTGGTCTAGATATATGCTAAATTGGGACAACCACTTTGATATTTTTTGTTATATTCATCATTAAGGCTCTCAATTAATAACTGTGGCAGTGCATCTAGAACACTAAGTTGAGAGCTGGCCAAACGCTCACTACAGAAGCGTATAAATCCGAGAAAAAGAAGGGTGACCCCTAAATTTTTATTTTTTTTTATTTTAGTTTTTATACACTGCTTGTTGGCAAATGATTTGCTCTAGACACTTAAAACTTTTGATGGTGCCTTATTTCACTGTCGTTTTCTTTCGAACCTATAGGAAGTAAGAGCAAGTAACGGCAAAATAAAGGGTAAAATACACATGTTCTATATTTGGTGCAACAAAAGCCTTCTCCAACTGAACGTAAACAAATGTAATTCAATAGCTGTTAGGAGAAAACGAAGCACACTAGATATTACAATCTTTTTAGGAAATAAACCGATAGAAAAGTGTGAAAGAGTTAGGGATTTAGAAGTTATCATAGATTCCAACCTAACATTCAGAGATCATTATAATACAATCATCAACAGAGCATACAACATGCTTGGCTTTATTAAACGATTTAGCTATAATTTTCATGATCCGTACTCAATAAAAACGCTGACATTACCTATGTGAGGTCAATACTGGAATACTGCAGCATGTTTGGTCACCGTATTCAATAACGCACGATAAACGAATAGAATCGATACAAAAGCAATTCTTATTGTTTGCACTTCGTAAATTAGGTTGGACCAGATTAGCTTTTCCGTCTTATGAAGAACGATGCATGCTCATCAACATTCAAACATTAAAAGAGCGTCGTGAATTTGCAATGGTCTCAATTAAATTAATGTTGTTCGCTGTAATATAATTTTCTTAGAAGCTTGTGCCATCAGCCTTCAGATAGGCTAGTATTTTTGTTTTGGTTTGAACAAAGTTGATTTTGTGTGCAACGACCTGACGAAGGAGCGGCAAAGAAGCTTGGGGGTGAACAGACGGTCTTCTGCTCAGTAAGCAAAATCGGTCCCCACTAGGCAACCGAGCTCCTTATATCAGAAAACAATTACGATCAAGTTTCCGTTCAATTTGTTTTTACTATGTTTCGATCCCGGCGACGACCTCACCGACGAAGACAACAATAGCTCTTGATATGGATTTCCAATCAACACGTCTTTCCGAAAACTCAAATATTACTTATATAACCTACCCGTCATTTTCACATCTCTGACACAACCCCTATTATTATCACATTAGGAAGCCAGTGAAGTAGAAAGTTTGTGGGAAAAAAGGTTTCTATCAAAGTTTGCGATCCAGACATATAATAGAAAGAATCCTTCTACTTGGTGATCTAAAGTGAAACAACAACCACCACGATTTTTATTAACAATTAAAGCCTTATTCATTTTCATCTTGCTTCCAACGTCAACATGCAACCGTTTGCAATGTTCAACATGACTCCGTACGAGATCCTCACCTCATCAGGTGTGATCGATGTTTTTAGGCGATATTTCCTCAACATGTACACGATCGTTATCTTCAAGGAAAGCCACGCATAGCGCATTCCCATACAATTCCGAGGTCCTCCGCTGAATGGAATAAAGGAATACGGATGTCGTTTGGCTGAATTGTCCGGGAGGAAATTATCCGGGTCAAACAAGTCTGCGTTTGGTCCCCATATCCTTGGGTTCCGGTGTATCTGATAGGTTCCTATTATTATGGTACAGTTGGGTGGGATGGTATGTTGATCTGAAAGGATTTAGAAACAGATTTAGCTTGGTATTTTGGGAGTGGCCGAAAAGTCGATCGCCTACCGCTAAGTTTGACGTCTCCCGTCGTCACTCGTGCCATTATAGGAACAACGGGATACAGCCGCATAGTTTCTTTACAGACCATGTCAAGGTACGTAAGGTTTGCGATATCTTCGGCGGAGACATATTGATCTTCCCCCGGACAGACTTCCATAATCTCCTGGTAGCATCGTTCTTGCGCATCTGGGTGCATTGCTATCAGCAGCAAAATGGAACTAATCGTCTTTGCTGTTGTATCATTTCCCGCAAAAAGAGTCATATCAACGTGTGGGTACACTTCTTTCTTGGAATCTATGCCATTGTTACGCATGTACCTCAAAAGGCACTCAATGAAATTCTGCGGTTTTTTGGTACCGACATCTTCGTTTGAAAGGTTCTGCTCGATGGATTTAGCCAATTTTTCATCATCATGAACTTTCCGCACCAATTTCACTGTTATATTGTCGTGATAAAATTTACGAATTGATGTTTCCTTCCGGTAGGATTCAGTCATACGGTATATGAATTCCGGGTATTTCCACACGGTAAAGAACCTGGCTGCCAACAGCTTCATGAATTTGTCCATGAGTTCTACGGAACATTCTCCATCTGACGATTCTTGCATGTTGAAGTCACATCCGAAAGCAGTTACTAGAATGATAGTTTTACGTTGGATTTCTGGGATATTTATACTTATTCCGGTTCACTTACCGTAGATTTGATCCAAAGTACACTTGCAAATGTCTTTGGTGAAGTCTCGTTCTGGTTTTCCCACGTGCTGCTCAAGTAACTTTACCAAGGTGGCACTTTTCTTGTTGAATACCGGTATGAAAGTGCTGAGTATAGCTGGTCCCAATGAAGGATTCAGGGCTTTTCTTTGCCCTTTCCACATGTGAACTGCGGATGGAAATGAGAATTCAAATTATAATGGTGTCTGATAATTGCTGTTGGCTTGTGGTCAAGTTCAGCTCACCTGGGGCACTTATCAGGGTTCCGAAAACCCGCATGAATGTGTATTGCACCGACTTCTCTAGACAGTTCTGAGAATGCAGGACCACCTGCAGCTGTTCGGGATCGAAAATGGCAATGTGCGGCAGCGGTCCCATGTGGATACACACTGGTGAAGGGAAACCACCGAAATACTTGAGCGTATCCGCGATTGCCTCTGAAATGATAAATGGGTAAAATTAAATTAAATCTACGCTATCTATCTATCTATGCCTAAATCCTTCGAAAAGTCTACATTTTAAGTTAGGGATGATTTCATATAGTGACATTATTTAAAATTTCAGCATATTTCTATTGTCCGATTACTTCATTTGGCCTCCTATTGACTTTGAGCCACAACTTTTGAGAATTACTTACTAACTTCATTTCATCCACCAGTGAATTTTTTGGTGATCATTTGTCTTTAAAAATCATTCTCATTTTTATACTTGCTCCTATTGTTGATTTGCGTGGGTAAGTGGTGCCTAATTTCATGTGATATTTATTTGAAATCATGTCCGACATCCTAAACTGGATAACCAATATGCCAAGAAATACATTTTCGCACAAGTTATAATCAAACAAAAAAATCGAAAACAATTCATCAGTGGGTCTTACTGTCCATGGTTGGGCTTATCACTTGCAGTTGCCTTGATGGGGCATAGAAGCATACTTTACTAAGTAGAGCTACACAAACTCCGTTGCCGGTAATCAAAACAAGCACGAACATCCTTTGCATATTTGTGCACCGGCAGATGAAAGTGTTTCAATGTCGATCGCAATCAGGCAAATGGGTGCTGGGTCGTTCCATGTTAGTAGTCGAAAACTGTATGCCGGATAAAGCTTCGCTGCTACGTCAATATCGGCTTAAAAAAGCGCGACAATTCAAGGCCGAAGATATGGCTCTGACTAGATAGCTGATAAATGGAATAAATAGCTGCGGGCTTAGAAACTACTGCTTACGGAACTTTCGAGATTTTGTTGAAATAACGGGAGCCAGCACTAGGTACAGATGTAGCCGAAAGCCTTGCATATAAACAGAAATGGTCGAAAATTTCCCACATATTTAGGAAAAGTCTCACAGGTTTAGGAAGTTACTTCTGGGGAAAGGAAGCTCTGCTAGCACATTAGGTTCGATATGATATATTCACAAGTAGTTGTCCACAGAATGATAGCTACCAAATAACTAATTTTACACGTGTCGGAATCCATCTTTGACATAAAGGATGAAATGTAAACAGGCATGTTGCACATAAACAATAATTGCTTCGAAATTGAATAGTTCGTTATTCGACGAAAGATACGATTTTGTTTTGTTTATTAATTTATTTGATAAGGCTCAACCGAATTAACTAACTATAGTATACAATACATCTTAAAACTATAGTCAAAAGGTACAACACAATAAACATTTTATCTTCCACTATCAAATAAGCCTCCTCCACCAGAACGGGAGCCACTTCCAGTGGTTTCATTGTATGGCAGATTCGCCAACGGGGGTCAGAGCGCTTCCATTGCAGCAATGGACGCAAAACGTGGTCAGCACTCACACATTCATCACGAAACGGTTGCTTTCCAAAGTCGACGACGCATCGACTGAAAGAACTGCTGATAAAGAACAATGAGGAGGACCACACAAAGGTTGCCGCCGAGTAAACAGACGATCGCATGACATACATTGAGAGTGGTCTGCTTCTGTCGACAGCCGAGTGAACACTGAAAGATACGTTTGATTGAGCTGAATTTCACGTCTGTTGTGATTCGATTTAATGTCACAATTCTAGACCAACTATTGAAGTAGGCGGAACAACCAAAAGTAAACAATGGCTTTAAACGCAAATTCTTCGAAAATCAAAGCACATCCAAACAATCTTACACCATCATCTGATAGAGCAAACATTCTTTATCGAATGGCATTGTTAGTTTTCCAGCGCTGGTTTTCACCAGTTTTTACAAATTGAGGATGAATGCTAGTCCCAGTGGTTCTCTGTGTAATTACAGCTGATCTGGCAATAACAGAGTAGCAACCGTGGGCCGTCAATCATCCTCATCCTCATGTTCATGAAAAATCGTCGGTTGCAGTGGCTTCCTTACTGAGCAGAAAACCCGGTCCCAGGTCCATTAATATTAAAGTGATTTATAGTCAAAGCGCTTGTTTATCGTTTATTTTGCGAAACATGTCGTCGTCGGTGCCGGGTTTGAATGATTATAACGGTATAATGTGATAAGAGGGGCTTGGTGGCCTTAGAGTGGCTGTTTTTGCATGAGCAGAACATTATGAGTCTAATCTCAGGCCCATTCACACACTAGATTCATCAATCGTTTTATTTGTTAATATGACTACATGGTAATAGCAGGAACTCGATGACTAAAAAGGAGCTCGTTTGCCTAGTGGAAAACGGTTTTGCTTCCTAAGCAGTAGACCGTGGGTTCAATCAATAGCTCCTTCGCGTAATATGATCGTTAGAACATCAATTTAGCTTATCGTTTACCAAAACGAACCCTGCTGCAAACCCAACCCTCTAACACATAATCCCAGTGCTTCCTCGTGGAAGTGCAGAGAACTCCTCAGCTTCAATCAAAACGAGTGTCACGTCAACACATTCCTACCCAATCCTTTCTTGACCTGCGTTCTATTGGTCTATTCATCAGTGCCAAGTACTCAACACCAAGTGGCACTGATGAAGGCTGCAAGTAGTAGACGAAATACGCGTATCTTTCAAAAGATAAGGCTTGTACTCGAAAAAAATGCACCATTATCCGTGGGTAAAAATTGATGAAAATCTGGGTATAACTAGTTTGGAGTGAATTGTTTACATGTGCAAAATTTCATAACAATCGGTTCAGTGGTTATTGAGATGTCATCGAAACAAGAAGAAAATCGCCGGAGAATTTTGCGCGCCGTCATGGAAAATCCGACTGCGACCATGAGATGGATCGGAAGACAACTGGGAATCACCCATACAACTGTGTCTCGGGTGGTAAAATCGTTTAAGGAGTCCCAGACGACCGAGCGGCGGGCTGGAAGTGGAAGAAAATCGAAGACAGCTGACCCTGTAAAGGCCCGGAAGGTGTTGGATTATTTCAAGCGTAATCCGAACCTTTCGATTCGTGACGCGGCTCTGAAGGCAAAGTGTTCCGCCTGGTTCGTTCAGCAAACCATGAAACGAGCTGGGCTTCGTGTTTTCAAGGTCCGGAAGGCACCGTACCGGCGTGATCAACAAAACACGGCGGACAAATACCGCGCAAGGAAGCTGTATCGAGAGTGGTTAACGAAACCGAAATGTGTGTGGTTATGGATGACGAAACCTACATCAAGGCAAACGCAAAGCAGATACAGGGGCTGCAGTTCTACGTTGCCAAATCACGGTTTGATGTTCCGGAAGATATAAGGAAGAAAAAAGTGGACAAATTCGCCAAAAAATACTTGCTCTGGCAGGCCATATGCCAATGTGGTAAACTGAGTAAACCGTACATCACAATGGGTACCATCAACAGCGAAATTTACCGCACCGAGTGCCTCCAGAAGCGTCTGTTGCGCTTCCTGCGGTCTCACGGAGGCGAGACATTATTTTGGCCGGACCTGGCATCATGCCATTACGCGCGATCGAAGTTGGATTGGTACAGAGACAATAACGTTGTTTTTGTACCAAAAACCGCCAACCCCCCAAATTCAACAGAGATTCGTCCGGTGGAAAGATTTTGGGCCATAATGAAGGCCAAAGTTCGAAAATCGTCCAAGGTGTTTAAGAACGAGCTGGAGTTGAAGAAAGAATGGATGAAAGTGACCAAAAAGGTCGGCTCCACCATTGCACAAAATGTAATGAGGGGTCTTAGGGGAAAGGTGTGGGCTTTCAGCGATGGAAAGGAAATTGAATAAAGTAATTATGCCGAAACATTATCCATATGTATTAGTTCATTCCCTGAAAGTTTCAAGACAATCCGACTTAAAATAAATTTTTGCGAACACTTTTGTCTGGTGCATTTTTTTCGAGTACAGGCCTTAAGCAATTATAACGGAATTTAAAGGAAATAACCCAACCCACTCAAAGCTCTTCATAAAGGGATTCCGTTAAGAGGTTCGACAAATTTAAAGGATTAATAATTGTTAGTTCAACGACAGATGAACTTAAATCAAATTTTAAACAAGAAATTAACAGCGAAGACAACAAATCAAGAAGACTGGCAACTCTTCCGTTTTCACATACGAACGCTATGAGACAGATACAATCGCGTCATCTGCCGCTCAAAGGTAAATGCTTCGAACGAATTTGATAGCAAAGATTACATCCTCAGAAGAAGGGTTTGAGTATTTGCTCATTTTTCTATGCGTTGCTTCCACCTTCACTCAAGCGCAGTGCCATTGTAGATGTCGCTTGGATTCTGGCAAAGTTGCCAGTCTTCTTGATTTGTTTTCTTTCGCTTCAAGTTAAGTTGCTTTGATTTAAAATGTCTTGACTGCATAATCAAAGCACAATATGAAATCAGACTTCTGTCGCGATAATTGTAATTAAAATGAGTTTTCATTATGATAGGAACTGCAAACTTTAATATCGATTTGCTTTAATTTTGTTAACCGACTTTGCTCGGGAAGGGTGTGGTGCAGGCTCCATCACTGCAGGAGATAGAAACAGCTACCCGTAGCATGAAATCCAAATTAGTTCACGGGGTCGATCGCATATCTGCAGAAGAGAAGTTGACCCTGTAATATCCACACAAGGTTGCACTAATTGTTCTGTAATATCTGGGATACGGCGACTTTTCCGGCCAACTTCTTGCAGGGCATCTTAGTGAAGGTTCCTCAGAAGGCGGATTTGACATTGTGTTACAAATGGCGAGGCATCATGTTACTGTTTTAAAAGTTCTGTGTAAAACTAAAATTATCCAAAATTGGATACAGGGGTAGATCAACGTGACTCTCCGGCAGCAACAGGTCAACAAATTCCAAGGCTCTCTGTATTTGGTATTCATTGACTACGAAAAGAATTAATTTTGTTTTTATGTGAGTGAAACGAATCGCGATTTTTAAACCAATCCATAATTTTCTGTGCTGTTATTTATCACTAAAGCACGCATATTTTAGAGCCAAAATAATTAGAAAAAAAAAATTAAATTCAGTAACTTTAAAGAGATTTCTTTTTTATTAAATAGCTGTTAGTAAGGTCTAAAAATGTCCTGGCAATGGCTTTTACGCTCTATCACTTTAAGTTGTCTAGTGCTCAATTTATTGATGACGCAATCACACATTAGATAACGATATTCATTCCATTCTTCACGATACGCAATGCTCCTACATCATAATTTGAATTTTTGGTGGAGAATCCTTCTATAACTTCACAGTTCAATTTTGATAAATACATAGATATCTTTTTAATCAAAAATCATAGTATTTAAAACAAGTTTTCAAAATGAAAAATTTCATCGTTTATCTACTATCGTCAAATTCACTGGTTAGGAAATGCATTATTTTTTGTAAGACACGGAACATCAGGTTTCAATAAGTACAATAGAAGTACTCGGAATGTTTAAACTGATTACACTACTATCGATCAGATATTCTTCGTCAATTTAGGAATCGAACACTGCACTTCCAGCATGAACGGAATTGACGGCAACCACACAAGGCTTACTTTCAAACTGCTTTAGTAAAACTTCAAGATCACAACAACTTCCAACTCCGCCATAAACTTTCACCACCTGTCCAGCTTGCTCACCTGGTTTCGTACTGTAAAATTTATGAGCATGCCCTATCAGCGGCAGTTTGGTAGGGCCAGACATGCTAGCCAGCTTGGCATACATCTTCCTTCGGGTCCATTGAAAGTACAAAAACAGCATTATCACACTCGCGCACAGGTACGTGAACAGTATATCGAACCACATGTTTACGTCCGAGTTCCAACGCCACTTGTTGATGTAAGAAAATTCCGGAGGAACTGGTCGTGGGCAGCAGTCTTTCACTTACATAAAAACAAAATCAAACAAGACCAGAACGGAAGCACGGCTGCAACGAAAGTGGCGCGATAATCAGTTATATTGCACCATTTATCTATACAACTGCTAAATGCTAACTGTTTAATTATAGCTCGTCGGTATTTTGATTTGCTCTATCGTTGCGCACGGTTGGGGGTGCTGTGAACCGATTAACCCACCGAATGCCTAGTGGAAAACGTTGGAAGGAACTTGGAAATAATCTCACACTGCGCTCCAGGGACATGTTACCGGTGACCTTCTCGGTTTTCATGTTGCTTTGGTTCCACAGTGTAATGTAAAGAACACACCTTTGTTTTTCATTTGTTCTGACTGTTATACTTGTTGAGTGCACTGGACATCGGTGGCCGATAAGGTTGCTAGTTTTCGGATAGGGGGCATACTTTAATGGCGTAGTATATTTTTGCAGGCTCCTCCTCCTCTTTGGATGCGACGTGGTTTATGCTCGGACCTTCGCGGTACATAATGGCTATCATGCGTGTCGAAGTTAATAGACTGCACTGCATGAACTAAACCAGGGGTTCTCAAACATTCATTGATAGCGATTTTTAAAATCGACTTGTTAGTTGGCGTAGAACTGCTCATTACAAATATTCAGGCAAGCCCCAATAGAAACCAGAATATGAAACGAAGTCTTTCAATACTGCACTAGAAAGGCGCTTGTCACCGGTAAGTGGGTTAATTAGGGTTTTTCTCATCAAACTGATAGTAGATTCAATTGAAATTTATGAATATTATTAAGATTTTTTGTTTTTATTTAATTATTAAATTAAAAATAAAATAAAAATAAGGTAAACATGTTAGCTAAATTTTTATGACACCAGTGGGTCGCAGCCTATAGATTGAGAAACGCTGAACTAAACTGTTGGCCAAGGGTATCCACTCATCTGTTCTCTCTCATTCTCGCGTTTTAGATCGAGATGTATTTTTTTACAATTTGGTTTTATTGAATGATGAAAAACACGTTTCGAGCACCTTTATCGAAGACGGAAACTTTCCATTTGACCAGGATAATGAAAAATCGTATACCGTAAAACGGCGTATCTTTGATAATGCGGGTAACTTTGGTAGTATAATATAAAGAATAAATTTAAGCGCTGTGCTGTTTCCAAATAAGAAACATTGGTTCCATATTGTAGCGTAGGGTATTTCCGTTGATATCGTATGTAGTTTTAATGTAGTACATATTTTACAAAAATACAAAAAAAAAAACCATTTTCGTGTTTTTCGCGTTTTTGAAAAAGCACTCAAACCATCACTTTTGAAATGTAGTTCCGATACAGCCATCACAAATTCAATGTTGTATTCTTATTGCTTATGAAGTTTTCTGATTATATACTTATTCAAAGTTTCATATTTAAAGAACTAAATTGTTTGAGTTTCACTCATTTTTTTCTACATTCATCGAGCATTATCAAAGTAACCCCAAATCAAAATATTGAAGTTCGGTCACAAAACTAAAAAAATAGTGCAAATGGTTTAATTTTTGTTCAACATATTACTAACGAATTAACTCCTGGATCCTCAGTACTTGTTTTAAAAATATAAAATTTGAAAAACATTCATTGCTGTAAAAAATATTTAGAATATACTTTAAAAAACTATCAATGTTACCCCGTTTTACGGTACTACAATAACCTACTGAAAGGTCTTACTCAAATGAATAGCTTTGCAGAAGACGGGAACTTAATGATCATGAATATAAAATAATATTTTTACTCATTAGAGTCTCCTACTGTACTGCAACTGTTACCGCCATTGAAAAGGTCTTACTCAACTCAGCAACTTTGATTAAGACGGGAACTTTCCATAAATGACGAAGCACTTTAGGAGAACGGGTTGAGTGTAAATTGTGACTGGTCATTAGATTGATGCAAATTTGAAATTTTCGCTCCACAGTGCTCAAACGGTTCCAAATTGGGCCCTGATTAGTCTCCCAAAATTTGAACTCATTTAGTGAGAAACTGACTTGGCACAAACCATTTGAAGTTTATATGGGAATCGCTATCGAGAAACCATAATTTGGGTTCATATCTATCTCAAAATGCACCAGTTCATTCTACTTTAGAAAATTTTCTGAACTACAACTTTGTTAAAGACCACTTTTCGATCAAATGTGAGGAACAAAAATTATTAATAATTCAAGTCGCTAATAATAGCGGCGCCGGTGGTGTAGTGGTAAGCGTGATTACTTCTCACCCCAGCAGGCCTGGGTTCAATCCCAGTCAGCGCCGCCTGGATGTTCTGAGGCATAACATCTCTAATCACGCCTTCTTTCGGAAGGGAAGTAAAGCCGTTGGTCCCCGGTTCATGAGTTGATGGGTCGATAGGTAGGGTCCAGGTGTGGGAGCTGCCTCACTGGCGTCGGTAGCATTGGTGCTCAGCACGGAAAACAAGATCGACGGAAAACAAATCAAGGAAACAAAAGTCGCTAATGTCTTATGATATGGCTACTATGTCACACTGCAGAATACAGTGTTGCCCATAATACAGTTGCTTATTCTTGCCATAAGATTATCCATCTCTTAAACAATTAATAACTATTTAATTTGAAGTTTGGCTGAAAAAAGATTTCTTGTAACGTTGTAGCTAAAAAAATTCCCATAAGAATAATAATATAATTTGTTAACAGTACAATATGTAAAAAGGCTAGAAGACAATGAATAAAAAGTTTTGTTTTCCCATAGTAATTTCCATATAAACTTCAAATGGTTTGTGCCAAGTCAGTTTCTTATCAAATGAGTTTAAACTTTCGGAGGTTAATCAGGACCCGGTTTGAAACCGTTTGAACACTGTGGAGCGAAAATTTCAAATTTTGCATCAGTCCACTGATCTTGTATTACGCATAGGAAAATACACACCAAATTTCATAAATATTGTTCGGTACTTCTTTTTGCTAGATTCGTTTTATAAAATATATTTTTTTACAAAAGTTTTGTACCTTATGTGTGATAATGAATAATTATGAAAACAAACAAAAAATATGGAAATTGCGGGAGTGGAAAAAAATCATTTATTCAAAATGGTTATGTTTGTAAGAATCTAAATCTATGTTGCGAGGCGCGAGTTGAGGCCGAAATTACAACAAATAGTAATCCTATAGATGATAGGAATTACTATTTGCCGTAATTTCGGCCTCAACTCGCTTCCGTAATGCGCGACAGGTTCTGACATTATATTTTGAATCCATATCTTTCGAGGCACGGGTCATTGTTTGTCTGAGGCTTGCTTTACTGGAGTGGTGTTTGGCACCGGCATTGGCCTTCATGACGCGCCACACTGAATAATCAAAGGGGTTAAGGCTGGATGGCGGCCACATATCTTTCGGCAAGAACGGCAGATGTTCCTTCAGCCAATTTTCCATGCGGTTTGAGGTGTGGCATGTTGTCCCGTCTTGCTGAAATACCACATTCGGCTCCGGTCCATATTGCTCAGTAATCCACGGAAGGACACACTTACTAAGAATGCCGATATACACCTCCGCATTCACTTTATTCCCTTCAGTGATGGTGCAAACATTATCACGCATACGGTATTATTTTATCAATCAGCTGAATACAACCGACTAAACGTGCAAGCGGTCCACTTGCCGAAAGGTTTTACACGAGACCCACAAACGATCTCTGAGGCGCTTGGCGATCGCTTCGAGGCACTATCTTCCCTTGCCTAGTACGACGAAAGCTTCGTTCTTAGGAACGAAGTATCCCAACAAAGCCTTGACAACATCACCATCCCAGATACCTCGTCCATGCCATCGATTAACACCCCGTTCCAAGCTGCAGAACTCGACCTAGCTCTTAGTCGATGCACCGGTAAATCTGCAGGGACACACTTAGAAAAATTCATGTGCTCTGAGAGTGACATATACGAGCGTAAATTTTGACATAAATTTGAGTCATAGCAGACGCGAGATATAGCACAATCAAACGTACTTTTCGTCGAGCAACGAACTTTTCAGTCTCGAAGCACTTAATATTACATGACATGTTTGTTTACGTCTTATCTTTTATGTCAAAGATTGATTCCATCACGTGTAAAGTTAGTTAATTCTAAGTGTGTACTGAAAAGATCGGTTACCCTATGATAAACCTACCCCTCGAAGTAAAAAAAACATCACGTTGAAGATCCTAAGAGATGCAGCCGATAAGCCACAAAAGGGCTCTGGCCCGATGAACTTATGAGAAGATCCGAGTCTTGCTAGTGCATCAACTCTTTCATTTCCCTCAATCCCGCAATGACCAGGAACCCAATTAAGTTGACTTGATTATGACAAGACAATTTTTGAAGAGATTGGACACACTCCCAGACAAGTTTTGTTGTACATGTCGCCGACTTTAAAGCATTAATTGCAGCTTGGCTGTCGGACATGACGCATATATTTGAAAGTTTCTACGCAAACATAAAATGGAACACTCTAAAATTGCTTGGATTTCAGCTTGGAACACAGGTGGCCATCTGCCCATAGGAACCGATATTTCTATCCCTGGGCCAGTTACTCCTGCTCCCACTTGATTGTTAAATCTTGAACCATCTGTATAAAAAACAATCGATCCTGGACGAAGAACCGGGCCACCAGATTACCATGAATTACGCCCAGGGTCAACTACTTGAAAAAGTCGATTGAAATTGTATCTTTTCTCCATCCAGTCTTCGTTGTTCCTTACTAGAGAGTTGATACTAACAGTTTTTATAATCCTAAGATGTCCTCTAAGGTTTCCTTCAAAGAGTTCAAAGACTGGACACATAGTCTGGTAGTACCCATCTCAAAAATGCTGTCACGAGTCCAACTCCGAAGAACTTCCGACCCATCTCACTGACTGACTGTCTTGAATCTTGCATATTCTTGAGCAGATGGTGATCCACCGTCTAATGAGGTTCCTAGAGCACAACCAACATTTGGATCATCAGCAGCATCCATTCAGACCGGGTCATGAGACCGGGACCTATTTCACCGGGCTCGGTAATGTCCTTCAGGATGTTATGTAGTTCCTTACCAGCACCATATTATCACCTTATAAATATGTCAATAGCGGATGGATTTTAATTCTAATCAAGCCAATCTACGAATAGCGTTAGCGTTGTTATGATATACTTTTTAGATTGGATACTAGCGACACTCACGTCTCTTCTGAAATTCTCAGTTAGACTACTTTCAGGAATAATGCTGGGGAGTAAACATTGGTTCCAATCTAAACAAGAGTAACAGAAGCATGACTGTCGCTATTCCCGGCCACGCCCATCTTCACCATAACTAGGGATAGGGAAGGAAATGTTGATGTAGTACTTACTTAACGAGAGGCCACCGACTTAGCGACACCTTCATAAGCGCTACGGAGTTGGAGGGTTGGGTAGGGTATTCGGTTAGGATTCACCTCAAGTTGCCAATGCAACCAAAAGTATGTATTGTTTATTTGTTTTTTATTTTATTATTCAATCTCTCGATAGCCGGCTATCTAAAGAACATCTTCATTTTGCTTAGTGATCTTGAATTTTAAGAGTCATGACGGAGAGCTTGAGATTAAACCCATGAAACAAAAACGATTCCTCCAGGGTCATCGAGCATTTCAGAATCATAACGCTTCGCGACAATACAGAACTACGTTTTCGCTTGATATGCAAATAGTTTCCGAGGTTAATGTTCAATATCAAATATACAAATGATGATGGTGATTTATTGTGCTGTGGAAGAGCTTGTGGTTAAATCCATGATTTTCTGCTCAGTAAAGCAAAATCGATCCCTCCAGGGTCATCGAGCATCTCATAATCCACAGCGCATCGCGTCAAAGTACGAATATATGGATGAACTATCTATTATTGACTAACTATTTTTTACGATAATTACATGAAAGAAATAACATATAAACTACAAACAAAACGTGACTACTCAAATCTCAAAAAGATATTCTCACAAATATATTTCACGCAACCAGGAATCTCATAACCATTAGACGCTATAATGATATTCTGCACATGTTAGACACAAGAAGAGGCCAAAAAGCAAGCGTCCGACACACAAAACCCGTCAAATAAACTTGCAGTAACAATCAACGATTCTACGAATCGCGAGCGCTCACGAATCATAAAACCGCTGACTGCGACACTCTGAAAGCGAAATTGACAGGCTCTATGCGTCAAACACCCGCCCTCCAATCTCCTCCCGCATCCAACAACACAAATCTCCATTACAACATCTAACGAATTCAAAACTCCGAAAATAACTCATCTATAACAAGTGATTGCAAGCAACCCTGCATGCAACCATTCTTCATGATACACTTTTTCTGCCTATCTTTCTATTACGAATCTGCTAAAATTAAGACTTTATCAATTGGTCACTATTGAAAATCACACAAATGTCCAACTGTAGCAATGGTGATTAAAATTATCACCGATTGCCTGCAAAAAGCGCTTTCCTTAATACAGATTGCAAAATTGAATTCCATCCGGTCTCGCTGAACGGTGCTTATTCAATCACCCTGTGTGGTGGTGTCCGGTTGGTCGCAGCAGTGCTTTCGGCGCTTGGCGTTGAACATTGTTCTCCAGTGCACAACGAAAGCCTGCCCGCATGCAGCGAGCTGCAGAAGAAGGAAGAAGCTGCACCGATCGGATTCAGTTGCTCATCGTGAGCCGCTGTGGGCCATCTATGCCAAGTGGTTCACCCTCGTTTCAAACACCAGCCTCCCAGCTCGCCAGCCTCATCCGTGTTAAACACCCTAATAGCTCAGTATTACTCAATTTGTGGTCAAATGCGTAACACCAGAAACACTTCGGATTAAGGTAAGGTTTTCCCCAGGACGCTAGAAAAACGCAAGAAAATCTCGAATTTATATGATTGATCGCGAATATCTCGCAAATGGAAAATTTTATCAAGAAATTTCTCAAATCCATTTTCCCTTTTTATACTATCTATTAAATAAACCATCTATTAAATAAAATTCCGCGCGTTTTGTGCTCGAAAATGCGTAATTTTGTCATCAGAAAACCAGGCGTTTCCGTGATGGGAAACAGTGGTTTCCCTAACACAGTCACCTAATATTGATACCGAGCACGTAATCCTAAGTCTAATGTACGGTCGTGTCGTGGATACAACCTCTTACTTTTTTTGCTTGATTTGTTTTCAGTTGATCTTGTTTTCCGTACTGAGTACCAATGCTAACAACGCCAGCGAGGCAGCTCCCATACCTGAACCCTACCTATCGACCCATCAACTTTACTTTACTCCCCTTACGAAGGAATGCGTGATCAGAGATTTTATGCCTCAGAAAATCCTGACGGCCCCGACTGTGATTGAACCCAGGCCCTTTGGAGTGAGAGGCAGAGGAACCGTGAACATCAATGGAATTTTCGAAGAGAACTATACACTATTTTGTCAAAGATACTAAGTACTGCTTATATATTTTCAGAAAGGTATAGGGGAGGTGTACCAGGTATGGTCTGGTAGTTTATGTTGATTTGTGTCATCACATAACTCCACAAGCAAACAGTGACAAAGTTCATACAAAGTTTGAAGCAACACAAATGTGAAAAAGGGTCCACGGTTCATACATACAAATTTGCATGGATGATTGTCCACTCCGTTAGAAAGGGGGAGGAAGGGGGGACCTAATTATACTGAAAAACTTTCCACGTTGTATATAGCCAGTTCCAAATCTTAGAACAATCAAATACGAAACTAATGTCAAAAATGAACGGCCAAATCACCTGAAACGTAACATCACAGTCAATTAAAATAGATCGCTATTTAACTACAAACCACTGGTACCATTGCGTATGTGGGAAAGTTTCATAACTGGTACTGATGAAAATTTGATGTTCATATGCATAAGGAAATCCAACAAAACCACTTCTTGAGTTATGGTCGCTGGTCATTGTAGACTTTAGTGGCTTTAGTATCAATCAAATACTTTTCGTGAAAATTTATTTATACCCAATGCACAATCATCTTTTTTCAATCGTCAGCTGGCAACCGTTTGCAATGTTCAACATGATCCCGTACGAGATCTTCAGTTGATCCAGTGTGAGCGATGTCTTCAGGCGGTATTTTCTTAACATGTGAATGATAATAATCTTCATCGAGAGCCACGCGTAGCGCATTCCAATGCAATTCCTAGGACCTCCACTGAACGGAACAAAGGAATACGGATGTCGTTTGGCTACGTTGTCCGGGAGGAAATTATCCGGGTCAAACATGTCGGCGTTTGGTCCCCATATTTTCGGGTCCCGATGGATTTGATAGATTCCAACTATTATGTTACAGTTGGCTGGAATGGTGTGTTGATCTGGAAGGTTTTGGTAATACTCAGTGGGTCCTGTTGTAGCAGTTTAAAATTGATCACTTACCGTTTAGTTTGACGTCACCGGTTGTTACTCGAGCTATTATGGGAGCAACGGGATACAGCCGCATACTTTCTTTGCACACCATATCAAGATACGTAAGGTTTGCGATATCTTCGGCGGAGACAGATTGATCGTTCCCCGGACAAACTTGCATGATTTCTTGAAAGCAACGGTCTTGAATATCTGGATGCATTGCTATCAGCAGCAAAATGAAACTGATTGTTTTTGCTGTTGTATCATTGCCAGCGAAAATAATCATTCCAATATGTTGAAGGACATCATCCTTAGCCGCCGGATTGTCTTCGCATATATATTTTAAAAGGCACTCGAGATAATTTTTGGGCTTTCTGGTGCCAGTGTCTTCATTTGTCTGAGTTGTTTCGTTTGATTTGGTTAATTGTTCATCGAAATTCATTGCTATCGCTAATTTCATATTGATATTGTGATAGATTTTAAGGCATTCTTGTTCTTTCCGGTATGCTTTGGTCATACGGTAGATGAATTCTGGATATTTCCATACTGTAAAGAACCTAACTGCCATAAGCTTCATGTAGATTTCAAAGAGTTCCACGGATAAATCCCCTTCCGGTGATTGTTGCATTCGGTAGTCAGATCCAAAAGCAGTTACTGGAATGAAAAAAAAAATGTATTTATGTTTCTCGGGAATACACTTGAGCTAGCTTACAGTAAATTTGATCAAGAGTACACTTGGAAATGTCCCGTTCAAAGTTTCGCTCTGGTTTCCCGACGTGTTGCTCAAGCAGCTCGGTCATGAGGGCACTTTTCCGGTTAAAAATCGGTATGAAACTGTTGAGAATAGCTGGTCCTAGAGAAGGATTCAGGGTTTTCCTTAGGCCTTTCCATAGATGACCTGAAATAAGCGAATTTGTTAACTGTATACATGAGTCACCCGAAAACAGTTTTAATCTAAGCTCGGCTCACCGGGTGCAGTTAATAAGGTTCGTGGAATCCGTATAAAGGAGTAGTGTACGGATTTGTCGAGACAGTTCGGAGAATACAGAACTGCCTGTAGTTGTTCGGGATCGAAAATGGCTACGTGTGGCAAGGGTCCCATGTGAATACACACCGGCGACGGAAAGTTGCTGCCGAAATACATGAGCGTGTCAGCGATGGTTTCTGGAATGGTTCACGGCAAATTAGTAATGGTCAGTCATATCCCCGGAAGAAGATCATGCCCAGAAGGTCATGAATCGCCGAAAAATGGGATCATGAAAACAGAAATTCAGGAACCCGTATTTTCCCGACCTTCGACTACGATTTTGAATATACGAGATAGCGATCTTTTCGTACTACTCTTTCGTTATTGTGTACCTGGTGTTGCGTTGGCAAATTTATGGGCATGCCCAATCAACGGTAGCCTAGTAGGGCCAGACATGCTTGCCAAGGTGGCATACATTTTCCTTCGGGTCCATTGAAAATAAATAAAAGCCGTTATGACACTCGCACATATGTACACTAGCGATGATTCCCACATGCCGTTGGCGTTTATGCACCACCCGGAGAACGAACGTATCAAGGACAACTTTTACACTTTAATTGAAAATTAAACCGGATTAGAACGGAAGCACAGCCCAAACGAAAGTGATGAGCATCAGTGCAAAGTTTATATCTCTGGCAAACGGATTAAGAATCGTTCATTGAGAACGTTAAGCTTTTTAATTTCCCCTCCTGTAGTGCGTGGCTGAGGGTGGTTCACCCTTCGTGTACCATGTGCTGATTTTTTTTGTCTGTTTGATTTTCGCATATACATTCCCTAAATATTTCTTATTTCCCTTCTTCATGCACCTAGGTGTACTTAAAGGTCACTCAAAGCCCTCAAATCTACTTCAACCCTACTGAATATGAAGTTTATGGTACTTCTTTTTCCTGAGATAGAAAAGCTTTGGTCTAAGTACGATTTTCCATATTTTTTTTTTGAATTTCATGAAAGCATCAGCACTGAGATTTAAAGGGTTAAAGTCAAAAAAAGAATACGGGGTGAATTGAAACGTCACAATTTACGAATCATCATGCGATGCAAACTTTTCATAACTGAATTTCCGTTATTTTTATTTTCTACATAAAACATATTCATTAATTTTAAACCAATGCGTGAGCATCTTCACCTCAGTGTACCGTATTTCTCAACTAATTTATTGTGCTTCCAAGTGTTATCTCGATTTTACAGCTCATTAGCGTAGTTATTTGATGGCGTAAGTTTGCCTAATTAGTGCATTTTATGCATCGTGAGAATGAAGTGAAGATGGCTGTGTATTTGACGTATATTTGCAGCTAGAATTTTACATCAGTGTATTTTCATCGAACACTTAGCCACTTAACACGTAACGTCTTTTTTCCATATGAAAAATGGCGTTTATGCCATAGTTCCATAACAGGGAACATTTTTTTAAACACCTGTGAGATCATTTCACGTGCGGTACACCAGACCGACCAGACCGCCAGACAATTCTAATAGATTCGATATGATACACATTTGGCGAGCACAACAACCTTACATTTTCTATATGCTTTTTACGCTTCCATAGGTAGCTGCTGCGAGATTCGCAGTTGCATTGGCAAATTTATGGGCATGAACTACTATTGGTATCATGGAATGGCCAGATATGCTCGGCAATGTGGCATATATTTTCCTTCGAGTCTATTGGAAATACATAGACACCGTTATCATACTCGCGTATGTTGGAACGAATCCCACCAAATGTCATTACCGGCTTTTCAGTACCAGGTCTGGTTCCCACATGAAAACGTGCTACGCGTAGTATCCACTTCAATTGATAATCAAACCGGATGGGAATGGAAGCACAGCTTAATGAATGTGATGTTTTCAATGGAAGTCATTACAAAATTTTCTCTCAGATGGTTCGTACTAAAGGGTGTATTCGATTAAAATAGCACACACAAAAACACCTGTAATTTTTTTTAAATATTATACCAAATGAGCTGGAATTTCCAGTAAAGATTGCTTAGTCCATAACTTACACATGTAATTTTCATGAAGGTATGAGAAGGGATTTATCGTGAATCATTAAAACAACATACTGTCTAAAAAATATGTACAATCTCAAATTTGTATGGAAAAAATGTTAGGGAATTCTTTCATGATTGTCGATATTGACCCATAAAACCAACCAATTTTTTTTACCAACATATTGTGCAGTTGGTCAAAAATTACACTTCAAAATGTCGGCTCATTTTGATATAAAAAATCGAAATCCATACAAATAAAAAATCAATCCTGTTACGCAAAAATAAGTTTTTTTTTCTACCACACTTTAAAGATGCATTAATACACTGAACAAGGAATGGAAAAAAATATGTAAACATTAGCAAAATATAGATTTTCTCCACAGTACTAAATTTTTCCTTCACAGCAAAAAAATAATTTTGATATCACGTCAAAGTGGATGCACTACAATCATGTCGAAAATATGGTGTAATATTACTTGCTAAAAAGGACAAAATTATCATTAATACAATGCATGAACTGACATTACGCTGCTTTTACTGAATTTGTTTATTTATGTGGTCATAAAAATTACATGAAATTTTCGACATGATTGTAGTGCATCCACTTTGATGTGATATCAAAATTATTTTTTTGCTGTGTTGATTAAGACCCAAGTCAATGCTCATATTTGAATAATTACATATTATTAACAAGCTCAGTACTCTCTTAAGCAGCGCTGCCTGACGTGCGGCCCGCGGGCCGGACGTGGTCTTTGGATCTCAGCAATGATATCATTCTTGTCTAGTTTTATTCATCGTTATGAATTTTAGGCCAGAATGTATGAAAAATAAACAAAATGTAGTTTGAAACATGTTCATCGATCATAGATGATGATGATGATGATGATGATGATGGTCCCACCTCTTACCCCTACAAAGGTTTGAGCTGGACGAGTTATCTTTAAGATAATTAAATATAAACATTTTAACCAGGTTTGCAAACAAAATCGAGCTGGTTACAATTACAGATATAAATGTCCTGTTAAATATGCTATAGGCATCAACCAAAAACATTCAAAGGTGTAACTAGTTATCAAAAGTCCAAGTATAGTCCTCGACAATACTTCCATTTATACGTGACCTGGGATTTACACGTTTAAGCTTCCGCAGTGCCAGGACTATATCCAAGGAAACGACTTCCAGCCAATCCTTTACTAATTCAAGGCTTTTGCCACAATTTCCACGTATTAGTCATTTATACCTGTATTCCGCGCGTGAGGCTCAAACCATTGTAGACTACTCAAAGCTATTTTTACTATTACTACTACAAAATCAAAAAACTAAAAATCCATCATCACCATTGAGGCAAACAATGTAGTTTTTTGTATATGCTACACAAATTACTAAAATGTCTTTATGACAGTCTCCATACAAAATAATCCGTTATTGATAACTTTGTCAAGATACATGATTTATCCATTCATAAAAATTTAACTGCTCAATAAACAGCTTTTACATGTGAAATGCAGCGTCTCTTGAATTCTGTAAGTGTAGTTGCACGCTTGATGTGTCTAGGCATCGAATTGAAAACATTTATACCTTTGAAAAATAATGAATTTTGTGAAGCATTATTCAAAAGATGTGGTGTTCTTACTTCATCCGCGTTTCTAGTGTTATATCTATGAAAATCACTTCCTCTTTCAATCCGATCACACAAATATCGAGGCAGCAAACCGTTAACTACTTTAAAAATGAACACCATAGTCAAAAACACAATTCTTTGCTTCACTGACAGCCATTGCAAAGCGTCCAGCATAAAAGTTGAGGAAGTGAATCTATTACATCTTAAAATCAAACGCATTACTTTATTCTGCAAACGCTGTAATCTCGATATTTGTGTTTCATTGGCCAAAAATAAAATGGAAGGGCAAAAGTCTAGATGAGGGGAGATGATTGATTTGTATAACTGTATTTTACTACCAATAGTTAAATCGTTTTTCAAGCGACATAGAATTCCATACTTCTTGGCAATTTTCTTGATGACAACTTCAATATGAGAATTGAAGTTGAGTTTGTCATCAATAATCACGCCAAGATATTTAGTTTCCTGAACGCGATCAATTGTTTCATCATCAATAACAACAAAGACATCCTCATCTACACGATTCCGCGAAATTACCATGAATTTAGTTTTACTTATATTCAATTTCAATTGTTTATACTTCAACCATCTACTTAGAGAACGCAAATCTTCATTCAAGCGTGAAACGGCTTCTTCTAAATCTTTAGCTGCAATGAATAACACAGTATCGTCAGCAAAAAGATTAATATCACAAAACCGTAAAACTCGTCGCATGTCATTAATATACATAATAAATAAAAGGGGCCCTAATACACTTCCCTGAGGCACTCCAAGGTCATTGTCAACGGGACAAGATACAAAATCATTAAAAACAGTCCTCTTTGTGTTCTGTCAGATAAATAGCTTTCAAACCATTTGTATGCAGAACCCGAAATTCCAAAGCGCTTGATTGTTCTTAACAATAAGGGCCTAGAAATTGTCTCAAAAGCGCGTTTTAGATCCAAAAACACAGCAACAATCGTATCTTTATGCTCCAAATTTTCTTCCATTTAGCTAACACTAAGTTTAACGCGGTTTCACAAGAATGGCCTTCCCGGTATCCCGATTGTTCGGGTATCAACAAACAGTTACTATTTAAATATTCTAACAGCTGGCCTTTTACAACAAGTTCTAAAATTTTCTCTAATGTGTGCAACATGTTGATGGGACGAAACTCTTCGGCTTTAATCGTCCCAGCAACTTTTTGTATAGGAACAACTAAAGATTCTTTCCAAATATGCGGCACGTGCCCAGATTGCAATGATTGATTTATAAGGTCCCGCAGAGTGTGTCGAATGACATGAAAGCAATCTTGAATAACTCTAGCATTAACATTATCTACTCCAGCCGTTTTTCCTAATGAAAAGCAAATATTTTTAAGTTCATCTAATGTAATTGGGTGAAAACCATTAAATCTACAATTACTATTAATCGGCTGTTTTATTTCGTCCGGTTCATTGATCAGTTCAATAGATTGATTGATCAGTGAAACGCTCTCGAGGAAATAGTCATTAAACTTAGAAGCAATTACTGGTTCTGACTGTTCTAATATGCCATCAAAAGTTATGGTCCGCGATTTACAATTACTAGGCTTCATCAAAGATTTCAAAATTTTCCATAACTCTTTGCTGTTGTTTTGATGCTGATCAATTTTCCTCTGAATATATTCACATCGAGTTTTCTTAATCGATTGTGAATATTTATTACGCACGACCGTGTACCTATTCCAATGATTATCACTATTAGATCTACAAAACTTTTTGTACCATTTGTCCCTCTTACGTTTAAGACGCAAAAGATCCAAATTGTACCAGCTGTTCGAGTTTTTCAAAGAAACAAACTTTTGTTCAACTAATTTATTGGTACAAGTTTTCAAAACGTTAGTAAGAACAGCTGCATCTTCATCTAAAGTTCCGGTAACTAATGGAAAATCCACACTTCTCTCAACAAGATTCGAA